TACAATAGCCGCCAGCACAACTAATTATGGCATGTTCCAAAGAAGCATCTCTCTCTCTCTCTCTCTCTCTCTCTCTCTCTCAATCAAGTCATAACATTCATCTCCTGCTCTAACATAAAGTTACTGTTCCTTTTTGTGCTCTCTGTATTTATCACACTTGTGAAGGCAGATCGAGGTGTTCATCTGTTTCCAACTACTAACCATATGCTTTGATTAGTTGCCATAAATGTTAAATAGTGTCTAACAAGAATGGTAACTTGCTGCCCGCTTCTCTTATGGACATGTACTAATTTGACCCACTTTCTTATATTGCTCCTGCAAGTTAACCAGTTATTGTACTATAATACCGAAATTGAACACTTACTCTCTATTTAGATTTACTTTTTTGCTTGTTTCACACTGGTACCGTGACTCTTTTTTGGACCACATTGAACATTCAAGGCATCATGGGAAATTATACTACATCAGCACTTTGCTGGACAAATAGTCCATTGAACCGACAAAATAACGTAATCTTTGCTATTTCGAACGTAAAACATTTCACAAGTGATAACAGACACTCGATAGATTTTTTTTTTACTTACATGTAAACAAAAATTTGAGTGATTTTTTACTCAGAAATCCAAATTTTTAATATCACAAATCTTAACATCTCCACGTTTGCATATAAAAAATAAATTGCTTAATTTCTGGATATATGAAATATTAAGTTATCCTTTTTAACTATGGATGGATAAAACATCACCCTCACCGTCAGCCACACATATTTGTGAAATTTATGAATTTATTGAGATGTTAGTTTCTTTTTCATTCCTTAAAAGACAGAATCTATGTATGGCTAAAAAAGAACAACGTTAGAATAGGTATGGCTAAAAAAACAACAACGTTAGAATGGGGACCAAAGTGATCGATGAGGTGCGAACAAAATGAAGTTTGAATAGAGGGCAGGCGCAGCTCATTGAAAGAGCTCTATTTAGCTTTGGCCTGAAAGACTTTGCCAAAGTTTGGAAGGATTGCTAGCTTCGACATCTAATCCTTCTCCTCTAAAACGAGAGGTGGGAGAGGGAACGATGAAGAAAAATGACGATATTACTGACACTAAGACCATCTCCATTTCTTTCATATGCAATTGCTAAAACTTAGGTGGCATTTGTTTGCCAATTGCTAATTCAATTGCAAGGATGTGGAGACAATTGATTTATTTCGAAGAACAAATTCCTTTTTCTATGCATTGAACCGTATTCTTGTAACTTTTTTCATTGTTATATCACTCACGGTGAGAGGATGATGACTAAAATCTTAGGACTCAATTAATGGAATGACTAAGTTCAATAGGAGCTGTCAAATTTCAAAATTGATCACCTATGACCCAGAAAAAAATATGTTTAAAATCTTAAAATTCTTGAAATGTCATTAGATTAGTTCTATGAAAAAACCTCATCACATCCGCTACCAACAATCTATCACTTACTTTGCTCTCTGACTCATCTTCCCATTCTTTGGTCCTTACACAAAAAATTTCTTCAGCTAACTAAATATGATCAATTTTTCTCATTGTTATAAGAACCAAACCACATCGTTGCAGCGGCAAGTAGAACTACCAAATCCGTTACTATAATAGTCCGATTCATTTGTTTGGACCGCTACGAATGGACCAAATAGTTTTTAGCGATTTGACTTGAAATCATGTGAAACACCCTAATTTGGCTGGTTCGTTATTTTAACTATAAAAAATTAACAAAAAAAAAAATTCAATGTAAATTAAGACCATCCAACCTGAATTACTAAATTTATTTTTGCTTCATTTTCTTCGTTTCTCAGCCTTCATGTCAATTTTATGTGGCCGACTCCCGACTATGCCACCCTAATTACTAACTTGAACTTAATAAAAGAATTTATGATTTATTTTTTAGATAATTTTAATGATTTGTTAGAATTTTTGGCTGATATAGATTTGAATTTATCTATGGTTAGTGTTAAATTCAATTCTAAAGTAGTGTGGATATGTCTTTTATGTTACAGCACACGAACGGTTCTATCAATGGTTAACCAACGATTCTATAACGATTAACTGTTAAAGTATAAACCACTAATTTTTCTGGTTCAACATCCAATCCGATTACAAAAACATAAGGGTTTCTTTTATATTTTCCCTTCCTTGCATATTTCTTTTTATACTCTCATTTTCTTGTTTGAGATCAATCCATTATCATCATCAATTTTTTATATGGAAAATTGTACAACAACACACACACTTAATATATCAAGTTTCCTCCTAATACAGGTGAGATGGATTGGGCGAATTGCCTTTGCATGCTCCAAAACTATCAATCACCATCTCATTTTAGAAGAATCTAGATTCTCCCTTCACCTTTTTAGTTTTGATGACCATTCTCAAACGGAGAACCACGTTGAAAGAGAAACACAAAATGATATTTGAACAGAAAAATTGATTCAGGATAGATTATGCACTTTTATACCTTTGTCTTGTATTGTTTGACTTATTTTGAACCGTCCTTAAAGCTATTTTATGCTAGGTTTGGTCTTGGTTTTGGCGTGTTTCATACCTTAGCAGGCAGAATGGGTAGTATGATCGAAATTTGAACAAAAGGGATAAAAAAGGGAGCAAATAGGAGAAAAGTGCAAGGATTATGGGCAAGCAGAAATTGCCACGGTCAGCAACTGTGATGCTAACGCGGAAATCGTGAAGATCAAAAAGTTCCAGGATCTTTTGTGCCGATCGTGGGCATTTCAAGGATCACTGTCCTAGACAGTGAAGTCAGCAGAGAACCCGTGAAGGTCTTAATGAAATGAAGCACTTTGCGCTGATATCACGGTTTCGTTGCACACTTCGTGGTCGTGATGTGCAACCTTGAAATGTGCACTCACAGGCTATATAAAGGGTAGAAAGAGCAGATTTATTGAGGAGAGTTCTAGAGAGAGAGAGAGAGAGAGAGAGAGAGAGAGAGTTTTAAGTTCTTCAAATCTAGAGAGAGATCTACGAGCAAGGAAGAGTTGAAGGTGAATTTAACCTACCCAAGGCATTAGGAGGCCATATTTCATCTCCAAGCGTCCTTCTAAGAAACTAGGAAGAGGAAGAATCAATTTCCCATGGGTTTTCTTCTATTCTAGTTGTTGTTTCTTCTCTAGCTATGCAGTAATTCCTCTTTTCACTTGGATGATGTGAACCCTAGTCTAGGATGTTGTAGATTGTAGTTTGTGAACTCTTTGTTTTGATGAGTATTGTTATTTATATATTGACTGAGGTATTTTCATGCAAATTCAGTGTTCTTGATAAAATCCCTTAGGCCCTGTTCACTTCCATTTTCGTTTTCTGATTTCTGTTTTCATGTCATAAATTTGGCAACCGAAACGAGAAAATTTGTTTACTTTTCATTCTGTTTTCTATTCGTTTCCAACTATGAAAACAGAAAGTGGCAACTTTCTGTTGTTTTCGGAAACGACAAAATGTTGTTTTCACCTGTTTTCAACATATGTTTTCTCAAAAACAGGAAACATAATTGAAAGTAAACACGCCCTTAACTTTGAATAGAGGGAGAGAATCCCCTTATGGCAATTCGGTCACTCCTCAATCGTCGTAGAGGGCCATGAATCATTCATATTAGTGAGTATACACCATTCTGGTTTAATCTCCGCGGAAGTGGAATTATTTGCCTTGTCGTCTTTTGCGGTTGTGTGGTACGCCCCTCCGATTAGATCAATTAAGCAGGTTAGGATGCACTCGAATAGAGGGTCCTAGCTATCTTATATCTCCTAACGGTATATGAAGTTTACTTGTCACACTAGAGTATCACATTTTCATCTCAACACGAGACAAGGGGAAATATCATCCGAGTGAACTTCTCTCACTTGAATTAAACATCATTTTAATTCCTTGCTTGTTTAGTTAATTAGCTCTAAACAAATTTTTGATTGCTAGATAATTTGTAGATTGTTGAAGTAAAGATGTATAGATCACCTGGGTGTGATGTTGCACTTGACCTATAATTGGGATTGGGTAGTTAGTAGCGAGAAAAAAAAAAAGATGAAAATGTTTTATTTTACGGTCGTGAAAACCAAGCTCATTTTTAAGAGATAAAAACTTAACAAATCATTTTATAACAACTCTAGTTATTGGTACCAAGTGGTTTGTTCGTTAACATGATACTAGAGCCCTCGACCTAGAGGTCATGGTTTTGAATCCTCGTGACAACCCTCAATATATATAATGGTTTAGCAAAATGGATGATATGACCAATGTGTGCAAACTGAAAGACTAATGGTTTAGCAGCACAACGGATGATATGTTCAAACTGTAAAAACCAAAAAAAAAAAAAAAGAGTTCGCTTTCGTTTGAGTAGGGATGGCAATGGGTCCGGTTGGGGCGGGTTTTGCCAAACCCAAACCCATGGGTTTATCCGCCAAAAAAACCGGGGTAAAAACCATTGGCTTTGAAAAACTCTAACCCAACCCAACCTGCTGGGTATCCGTAGGTTCATGGGTACCCGTGGATTTTTGTGGTAAAAAATTACAATAACAAGTTTCTTTCAAAATAAAAGTGTTAGAAACAAAGTTTCTAATGAGTTGGGGATTAGGGAAATTAGCTAGATCAATTAGGGATTGACCAAGCTTGGGATTGGGAATAGGGGAATTTGGGAAATAAGAGAGGGAAAAGGGGGCTGCTGTGCGCAGCTTAGGGGGAAGAAAAGAAGAGAGGAGGGAGGGTCGGCGCAGGAGGGAGGAAAGAGAGAGAGGGATTAGTTTTAGGTTTTCTGTAATTGATTGCTTAATGTCAAAATAACACCCTACTGCAGATTATATAATCCGCCAATTCCCTATCTCCTACCCAAATAATAAAACGTAACAATCGAATCCCTATTTATTGCTAAATACCCCAAATAATCCCCCAATTATCAAAGACCGACAATAATACGAAATTACCAAAAGCTATAAATTATTTGTTTCTAACATCCCTGCCTCATTGGGAAGCAACCTTGTCCTCAAGGTTGAAGCTTCTCTTGCCCCGCTCCTGAGTCCTCTGCGGCTTCATCCTCGGCCTCATCTTCCCAGCGCCCCACCAAGAACATTAGATCAGGCTTCCCGCATTTGTGACCAAAGGTGAACCTTTCGCTGCAGTTAAAACATTTTCCTTCTCGCCTCTTCTGCTCGATCTCAGCAGGAGATAGCCTAGTAAATCCCTTGGGCGATGCCCTTGGTACCGCTCGAATGGCCGCAGTGGGTGGACCAGCCATCGGACCCCCTCCCGTGCTCGGACCCGGCGCCGGGACCCCCGACCCGCTACTCGGCCCGCTCCCACTTCCACCTCCGCTCGGCTTCTGATATCGGCCTATCACTCCCCGCCAGCTAGCCAGTTCCTCCTCCTTATTACCTGCAAGACGGAAAACAGCTCGTAGTGAATCTGGCTCAAATACCCGGACAGCAGCTGCAATCTCCGGACGGAGTCCCGCCATGCATAGGCCCACCAATGTCTCTTCTGGAACGCCCTTGCATTGGTTACCCAGTTTGAAGAACTCGGCCCTATACTCCGCCACCGTCCCTGTCTGGCGCAGCTTGGCCAGCTGCTCCGGAGCCCATCCTTCAGATTTTCCGAACTGATACCGCAACTCCTCCTTAAACATAGGCCAAGTGATTAGCGTATGAGCTTCTGCATAGGTCCGCTCCATCCACTCCCACCACTGTAGTGCATCTCCCTCCAAGTAGAAGGAAGCTAGCTGAGCCTTTTGTTCTTCCCTAGTGGGGTGGTTCTTGAACCATCGCTCCGCTGAGTATAACCACAGACCGACATCCTCACGACCATTGAATTTTGGAAACTCAATGGTGGGAGGTTTAGCTCTAAACACCATGTCATCCTCTTCCTCACCACCCCGGGAATAACCGGCATTCCTCCCATAGCTTGGGGCCCCACTGTGATAGTGCTGCGAGAATCGCGGGTCCCCCTCGCATCCCCAGTCGTCCTCTTCCTCCTCCTGATATCTCGTTCTTCGGCCTAACTCAATCCTCTCCCTTCGTTCGCCCGTTCCCGCCCTCATAGGTTCCTTTCCGGTGCCCCTTTGATTCGCAAAAGGAGGATGAGATCCGCCGTACTCATCGAACTGACCTTGAGGAGCTGGGTAACCCCTGCTGCCCGCCTGGGCTGCGTATCCTTCCGGGTGAACCGGTTCAACCATGGTTCAACCCGGTCAGGTTCGACCACCGGGTTCGGCCCGACCATTGGGGGCCCGACTCGGCCCTGCTCGGCCCATGTCACCCCGGCTCGAGGGTCTTCGGCCCATGGCTCCCGGCCGCCCCATCTCCCAGCCGCGGCCCACCTCCCTCCGACCTCCGCCCGGCCCACCTTCCATCCCGGATCGGCCCACCTGGCTGCCTTCGTCCCCTCTATGATCAGCCCCTGACCCATACAGCTCGTTGGGCCATGGCCCATGATCAAAATCCTGCTCCAGGTCCACCAACTCTTCCCCGTCCAGACCCGTTTGCGGATCCGGGTCCACGTACTCGGCCATCTTGGCCTTGCCGCGCGCGCGCGCCACCTCCTGGGCCGTTGGGGTCGGTAGCAGCCCATCCTTGGTTGTTGGGCCAAAAGAGACGTGGCCCGTACGTGAGACGGGTGGCCGGCTAGGGTTGGCCGCCGCCGATCCCCCTTTCTCGCCCGACCCGTCCGCCAAGACCCACGCGACGCCTTCACTACCGAGCACCGCTATCGAGGCGGAGCCCTCCCTCGGCGCTCCCACTTCCACCCGCGGCTGCCCGCCGCCGCCAGCTCCCGCCCCACCGTTCTTCAAAGCCTCCGTCAGGCTGCTCACCTGCCCTTGCAATACCTCCACCGCCGCCAACTGCGCGTCAAGGGTGCGGCAGTGATCTCTGGCCTTTGCCTGCAGCCCATTCAGCTCCTCCTCCACCCGCGCTTGCCTCTCTGTTTGTGTCTCCACGACCTTCCTCAGCTCCTCGATCTCCGTAAGATCCTCCACCACCCCGTCGAACCCTCCATCGCCCGCATCGGTCTTTCTCGGCTGCCTGAGCCGCCTTCTCTGCCGCTTTCATTGACTTCGTCGATACCATTGCTGCCTTCCCTGGTTCAAGAGCTCAAAAGAACTCACTCTCGAGCCAGGCTCTGATACTAGATGTTATAAACAAAGTTTCTAACGGGTTGGGGATTAGGGAAATTAGCTAGATCAATTTGAGATTGACCAAACTTGGGATTGGGAATAGGGGAATTTGGGAAATAAAAGAGGGAAAAGGGGGCTACTGTGCGCAGCTTAGGGGGAAGAAAAGAAGAGAGGAGGGAGGGTCGGCGCAGGAGGGAGGAAAAAGAGAGAGAGAGAGGGATTAGTTTTAGGTTTTCTGTAATTGATTGCTTAATGTCAAAATAACACCCTACTGCAGATTATATAATCCGCCAATTTCCTATCTCCTACCCAACTAATAAAACGTAACAATCGACTCCCTGTTTATTGCTAAATACCCCAAATAATCCCCCAATTATCAAAGACCCACAATAATACGAAATAACCAAAAGCTGTAAATTATTTGTTTCTAACAAAAAGTCTAACGTCAATTTTCTCATAAAAATTATCCATACAAAAAACCAATCTATATCATACAATCAAACTGCAAATTAACAATAAAAATTGTTCAAAGTTAAAGTTAAACATCTATAAACAACATGATTAATTAAAAGCTCCTTATCAAATAAGTGTCTTCACTCTCCATTCCATGATATCAACTTCATTGTACATAATTAGAAAGAAAAAATTGGACATGTCTCCACAAACATAAAGAAGATGAGTTGTTTAAGGAAGATATATTGCTTAGAATATTAAATAACCCAGAAAAATTAATCATATGGGTGTAGGCGGGTACCCATGGGGCGGGTTTACCTAAACTCATCAAATTATTTCTTAGGTTTGAGGGGACGTGTTAAAGATAAAAACTTATCAAATTATTTCTCGATAACTCAAGTTATTGTGATTTGTTGGTTAATATCATTATCTCAAGTAGATACATTTAAATTGTAAAGCCAAGCCCATGGGCTTAAGCCCAAAAAACTATTAGAGGATCATGTGAATTATAGTACAAGTGGCTTAATGAATAGTAACCAAGATATTGATTTATATATAATAAAATAATAATAATTTGACGATTGAGATAATAAGTAGGATAGTGATTTGTTTTTGCTTTTGTTGGTTTAGGTGGTCAACTTGGAGGTGGATTTAAACTAAAAAACAGTGTAGTATGGAAACACGACTATTATAACACTTTAGGAGAATTCTACATCGACAAAGCATGGAAGATATCCATGGTTCATAAGTAAGAGACCGACCTTAAATCGCACGACATGTTTTGGAGTGAAATGGAAGAGTTATTATAAGAATTCAGAAGCTAGACATGCTCACCGTGGAGCACTGCAAGGATAGGCGACCTTATGGGATATCACCTTGAAATGCACCCCCAAGGCAAAATTCAAGAGGGTCTAGATCCAAAGCAGACAATATCTTGTCGAGAAAAGGTTCAGGATGTTACAACTAGATTAATTTGGGTACGCGAGAGTGAGTTTTTTATTTTTCTTCGATACTTGGCATTCCAGGGTGAAATTTTGTGAGGATTTTCCAAGGTTGTGACTGATGTGTGTCGGCATCAAGCTTTACAATTTATAATTCGATTAACGATGTAGCATAGTTGCGATTGCGAAGGTAATCTCTACCTTAACGTACTATTTGGTCAAACAAGATGGTTGATGATTTACGTGTGAACAAACCAAATGAAGAAAGATACAAACTAAAAGAGAGGGAGATCACTAGAGAAGAGGTAGTGTTGGCTAGACCTAGAACTACCTTGGATGCTTGATAAGAGTTGATGCTATAAGGGATTGGATTGATTAGTCATTCACTCCACGCAAATAAATATGTTAAGCTCTAACTCAATGGTAATGTAATTAGGGCTCCTACCACCTAGGTAGAAGGACTTGAGTTTGAATTCTCAGAACTCCAACTACCTAGGTGATGCATATAGACTAGGATTCCACTAATGAAGCTATCTCCCTTTCCATGAGATAACCTCACTATTAAATGGTCATGTGGAGCCATTGTCCGGTCAACCATACCATCCTCATCTATCTAATTGTGGTCCAACCCTAGAAATTGGGACACAATCACCTCATCAATCGCCAAAACCTAAATAAATTCAACTAGAATTTCGATTCATGCAATCACTAGATAGAAATAGAGTATGGAGAAGTCATGTGGAGCCATGGCATGGTCAACCACACAATCCTCACACCTATAGTGCGTCAAAATCTAGAATTTGGGGAAAACTCACAAACGCGTAAATGAATAACAAGAATAATGCATCAAGATAAACATATATATATAGATATTTGAAAGGGGATCAATATACTCAAATCCATACAAGAAAATCCCTAACAAAAATCTAGAGAGTTCTACATCTAACCAACACAAGGGTCTACTTCATAGAGAGAAAGAGAGGGAAATTATAAAAAAGAGAAGAAGAATACCAATCTTTAGATATATCCATCTTTTCCTTCTTGCCTTGGGCGTTCCTCTTGAATCTTGGAAGGATTTTTGGTTGATTTGGTTAAGAAATCATCCAAGAAGCCTCCAAACTCGTCACTCTCCCTCAGTCCCTTTACATCTTCCCAAACTCTGATTTTCTCTCTCTAGGATGCCTCCCTTGCTCTAAAACATACTCTTTTATTTATTAACCCACAAAGATCATAGATCACGACCTAAAGTTAGGAGGAGTTCCTGGCCATGATTTGGGACAAGAATCCCATGAATTATTTAAAGCTAATGCAGGTCATGGCAAGACCGTGAGTTAGTCATGACCATGTTCATGGCAGGGATCACGCTCGTGATAATTACTTGCGGTTGATAATGTTATCTTACAGTTTGGCTTGTTGTGGCTGCGATGTTGGTCATGATAACTTTTGTACTTCGTCGTTGTTTACCCTCTTGGAGTTCAATGTCATCAAACAGATTTTACGATCGTGAACATTGGTTCTGCCGTACGTGGCTTGGGTCACGGTTATGTCTCTGACCTTGAGTCTTCTTTTCTGCGTCTTGATGATACTCAAATTATGGTGTTTATCACTCTCGTATTTTCCCGTTCTATCAACACATCTTTAGCAATATGCTTAAAATAGAACTAGTCTTTAGTATTATTTTATGCCTTATTTGTATTATTTTGTGCTTTTCAAGGTGAGACATACTCGAGAACGATTTGGATACAAAATTGGATCAATTTGGATGATCAAGAAGGACAATTTTTAGAAATCAAGGATGGTTTGTCCATTACACAAAGCCAAATGGTGGGGAAATCTTCATGAAGTCATTTAAAAGCCAATAGGATTATTTAGGAGATAATTCAGCCTAGACTACACAAAAACTTGTGGAGACATTGTGACGGTGCCAACCACCATTAAGCCAAATTCGGAGGAAAGCTTACGGCGGCGTCGACCGTAGCAAGCCCAAGACCATAAAAGGTGTTACAGGCCGAGAAGCTCTCGATTATACTAGAGACTCGGAGGATATTTGACCGCAGCTAGCTCCGTTTATCCCCAAGCACCAGCGGACAAGCACAACCGCCCCGGTCCGCCAGAAGAAGACACTTGGTTGGATTCAATCTTTCCCCCACTACGAGTAGCAAAGAGAAGCGCCAGCATCAATGTCCTTGTGCCTAGCATCGCCATCATTGGGATCAGACAAGAGAAAGCGAAATTTGACCATCCTCATGCTCTCGGTTACAGGTGATGTGGGGTATGACAAAAGAAGATGGAAAACGAGATGTGATGGAGGAGGAAGTAAAATCGGATCTGTCAACTTGAACAACCAATTAGGTGAGTGTAAAGGGGGTAAATTCTACGCCTTACGATTTTCAAGTATTTGCCTTGAGTATTTTCGAGTATCGCTTTACGTGATGTATGTGCAGTATATGATTCATGTTTGTGATTGCATGATTATGGTTGATGATATGTGCCTTCTTTGACTTATGACTTGAAGTGAATGGTTATTAGTTA